ACAAATTCTTTTATTAATTGACTTAAACTGAAAAATAGCATTTCAAGTGCAGTCTTCTTTTGATATGTAAGTAAAAATGTGGCCTTCTGGCTTTGGCTATAAAATTTTATCTCTAATTTGCATGATGAAACCTTATTATGTAGCTACTAACAGGTTTACTTCAGCCTTGCCTTTGTCCGAATTGTCATAAGTTCTAATTATTGGTATCTGAATCAACACTAAATAGAAGAATGTGAGTTTTCATTTTCTAATACTGTCTAGAAGTTGAGACTTTTAATGCTCAGTGTCAGAAGAAGTAGGCACCTGTTTTATCACATCCTTTCTTCTCTATTCCTAGTGAAGTATTAATGCATTTGCATGTCCTAAATCAGTACTTCCTCTGGTGTAGAAATTTCTCCACATACAGATGTTTTTCCTTCATAAAACCACTATTGTAAATACTTATTCATTTATTTCTCTCTATACAAGGTGAGATCATATTTAATACTTCTTTTGTTTTTTCCATATAAATTTGCATAGTGCTAGACATTTGAGTAATAGCAGTAGCAAAAACAGCATCAATAATAAGGTAATTGAATAAAGGTACCCTCAAAACAGTCTTGAGGTAAGTACTTTATTATACCCATTTTATGGCTGGGGGAACTTAGGAAAGTTAAGTAGTTTGTGCAAAATGAGTAAGCTGAGAAGTTAGAATAAGAAGCCAGGCAGTTAGAGTCTAGAATCCACACATTAAACTTAATAAATACAAAATTTATTTAATTTATTAACTGATTCTTTAAACAAACATTACAGAGCTCGCCCACCCAAATGACTAGGCCGCTGTTTACATATTCTAGTACAGTAAATATTTTAATTTTTAAAAAAGTACAACTATAAACTAATAATTCTGAATAAGTCTCATGAAACTGAAAGCAATTCCAAAGAACACAGCTTTGGAAATATTTTGAGTAATGGCAGCCTCACTAGAGTCACTCTCAAGTGACAACTCTGAAAGATGATACTCAGTTGAATTGAAAAATACAAATTAGCTTAATATCCCTTTTTCTCTACTGCCTACTAGTAAGGAATTGCATCCTTCATAGTAAAGAGCCCACAAGCTCTTCTACCCCATTTTTGTATACAGTGACAGCCAGCTTCTGATTAGAGGAGGGCACACATCTGGAGGTCGAAGTGTCCTTTGTTTCATCTCTAACCTTTTAAGGTACTTTAGTACAAGGAAGAGAGTGAATTCAGATCAGTCTAAAATTTACTATTTATTATAGCCTGTTTTTTGCTACCCTTTTCAACTTCATTTTTCTTTTTCCACCAGGCATCTTGATCTACCACTGTCCTTTTACTCAAACTGCTGTGTACACCCTCCCTATACCTCTGTATACCCCAAATCAGTAAGTGTGCTGTGGCTGCCAACACAGACTCTGAAACCAGAGATTTCAGATTTGTTGAGATTCAAAGCCTGCCTCCACTACCTGCTGGTTATATGTCTTTTCTATACCTTAGTTTCCTCATTATAGGAGTAATGGTACTACTTCAAAGAGTAGCTATAAGGATTGAGTTAATACATATAAAAGTTTAGAAGAATGCGTGTCACAACGTAGGTGTGTAGTAAGTATTATCTGTTGTTATCATCATCATTTTTATCATCATCATTTAACTGGTGAAGTCCTATGCTTCTTTGAGGTCCTACTGACATTTTACAGCTTGTCTGTAGCCCTGCTATTCCAAGCAGGGTTGAACCCTTCTTTTATGCTGTGAAATTGTTCACTCTGCCATTTCAATAATTAGTACACTGTGTCTCATTAGTTGAACATGCATCTGATTCTTGATGATTGTAAGTGCATTGAGGTCAAATGTAAAGGTGAAGGAAGGACCAACAAAGTTTGTGTTATGTCTAAAATTATTTTGGATTATCACCCATATGAATAGTGTGGGAAAATATTTTTAGTCACTCCAAATGTTAAAGAAGCTGAGCGCTTTTTCCTCCGTATGAAAGATGTCTTAAAATATTTTTCAAGCGTTTTTTGTTATTCAGAAGTTTGTTGGAAATAATAAGAGAAAGTGTTAATAATATCCATCACTAGCCCCTGCTGTTAAAACTAGGAGAAAATATAAGATGTACATCATTGCTATCTCTTTTTTTTAACGCAGGTAGAGTAGACTATCTGGATCTATCACGACATGCAGATTAACAAACTAATCTGAATGCTAATGTGGTTTCACACAGTTTACTTCTAAGTAAATATGTTTCCTATAATAATAACTATATATCATTTACCTTGAAAATTCCACTTTAATTAGCCTGTTAGTATGTGGGAGATTGTAAATATTTGCTTTGTATATTAAAGATAGACCACAAAATGTGTTTCTACTTACTAACTACATAACAGATGTTTCTTTTCCTTAAAAATATTTTTAAAAAATGCTTAAATGCTAAATAATTCTAAATACACTCAGAGCCTTAGAAATCAAACGTATATTATTGGAAACCCAAATATATATATTCTTCTTACTACATTTCTCAATGTGATGACATACTAAATCGAGGAAAAGAAGTGCTTTTTTTCCCTTTTTCTAGAGTTCATTTCTGGGTGGTTAACTAAGGATACATTAAAGTGTGTTTATTCTAATGAACCGTATCTCAAATATCAGCGGCAAGTGATTCTTTTTATTATTTCTAAGGGATCTTGGTTTTATTGGCAATAGAAGATAATTAATTGGCACCTCTTCTTAATTATTTTTTTAAACAGGACAGAGATTCCTTCTGCCATCAGATGTCTTTCTGCTTGACTGAACTGCACCTGTGGTCTTTGAAGAATACCTTACACATTGGGGGTAAATAAGCTCTGGATTAATTTCAATATTTTTTAAATATAAGTTACAACAATATAAATAAGTACTAACAAAGGTTAGAGCCTAGATTCTCCAGCTGGAATTGCATTATTTTCTTTATACTTAATGAAAAATTGGCTAGTGTATAGTAATTTCTTTTAGTTAACTCTGCTTATTTTTTTTCAACTTCAGTTACATTTTCTGCTTTGAACATTAATTTTATTGGCCTAATGTCTGTTTCCTCTTAAGATACACAAATGTTCCATTTTTTCCTGGGATTGTTCATAATAACTGATTTATATTCATAAATATTTGCAGGCTTGCTAATGGTAAATGCATTTCTATTTGATATTAAAGTAATATTTCAAACATAAGGTAAATTTCAGACATACAGCTAAGAGGTACAATTATATTCATTTTTTTAAAATAAATAAATTTATTTATTTATTTATTTATTTTTAGCTGTGTTGGGTCTTCGTTTCTGTGCAAGGGCTTTCTCTAGTTGCGGCAAGCGGGGGCCACTCTTCATCACGGTGTGCTGGCCTCTCACTATTGCAGCCTCTCTTGTTGCAGAGCACAGGCTCCAGATGTGCAGGCTCAGTAGTTGTGGCTCACAGGCCCAGTTGCTCTGCGGCATGTGGGATCTTCCCAGACCAGGGCTCAAACCCGTGTCCCCTGCATTGGCAGGCAGATTCTCAACCACTGCGCCACCAGGGAAGCCCTATTCATGTTTTTTGAATCTCACATTTTTGGGGGAAGAGAGTAATATAAATGTGTTTTAACAATGTTTATTAGTATTTCAGGATAAAGTATATATCATTAGGAAACATCTTTTAAAAAAATCTTTTCCTTTCTGAGTATCTAAAGCAACTCTTGTATTTAGGAGGACAGATTTATTTACATGTCTTTAGCATCATTACTAAGAAAATGGTTTACCTTGCAAAGCATTATTTCTTTATATCAAATATATAATTACAGATGATGTCATTATAATTTCATTAAGTTTAGCTTGCTTAAAATGGATAAGGATAGAATTTCCAGTTAAACAAAGTGGACTTAACACCCATTTGCTTCCTTCCCCATTTCTTCTAAAATGAGAGTAAACGAATTATTATTAAAAAGGTACAGAGCACTGGAGCCTGCAGGCTTTTTGGTGGGGATAATGGCAGACTTCAGGGGGGCTCATACCAAGGAGTACTTCCCAGAACTTCTGCTGCCAGTGTCCTTGTCCCCGCAGTGAGCCACAGCTGCCCCCCGCCTCTGCAGGAGACCCTCCAAAACTAGCAGCCGTGTGGCTGACAGGGTCTTGGTGCTCTGGCCTGGTGTCAGGCCTGAGCCTCTGAGGTAGGAGAGCTGAGTTCAGGACACTGGACCACCAGAGACCTCCCAGCCCCATGTAATATCAATCGGCAAGAGCTCTCCCAGAGATCTCCGTTGCAAAACTAAGACCCATCTCCACCCAACGGCCAGCAGGCTCCAGTGCTGGACGCCGCATGCCAAACAACTAGCAAGACAGGAACACAACCCCACCCATTAGCAGAGAGGCATCCTAAAATCATAGTAAGTTCACAGACACCCCAAAACACACCACCGGATGTGGCCCTGCCCACCAGAAAGACATGATCCAGCCTCATCCACCAGAACACAGACACCAGTCCCCTCCACCAGGAAGCCTACACAACCCACTGAACCAACCTCACCCACTGGGGGCACACACCTAAAACGACAGGAACTATGAAGCTGCAGCCTGAGAAAAGGAGACCCTAAACAAAGTAAGTTAAACAAAATGAGAAGACAAAGAAATATGCAGCAGATGAAGGACAAATTAGAAACGCACCAGACCAAACAAATGAAGGGGAAATAGGCAGTCTACCTGAAAAACAATTGACTGTAATGAAAGTAAAGATGATCCAAAATACTGGAAATAAAATGGAGAAAATGTAAGAAACATTTAACAAGGACCTAGAAGAACTAAAGAGCAAACAAACAAGGATGAACAACACAAAAAATGAGATTAAAAATTCTCTTGAAGGAATCAATAGCAGAATAACTGAGGCAGAAGAACGGATAAGTGACCTGGAAAATAAAATAGTGGAAATAACTGCCACAGAGTAGAGTAAAGAAAAAAGAATGAAAAGAATTGAGGACAGTCTCAGAGACTTCTGGGACAACAGATCTCAGAGACAACATTAAACCCACCAACATTTGAATTATAGGGGTCCCAGAAGAAGAAGAGAAAAAGAAAGCATTTGAGAAAATATTTGAGGAGATTATAGTTGAACACTTCCCCAACATGTGAAAGGAAATAATCAATCAAGTCCAGGAAGCTCAGAGAGTTCCATACAGGATAAATCCAAGAAGAAACACGTCAAGAAATATTAATCAAACTATCAAAAATTAAATAACAAAAATATTAAAAGCATCAAGGGAAAAACAACAAATAATATACAAGGGAATCCCCATAAGGTTAACAGGTGATCTTTCAGCAGAAACTCTATAAGCCAGAAGGCAGTGGCAGGACATATTTAAAGTGATGAAAGGGAAGAATCTGCAACCAAGATTACCCAGCAAGGATCTCATTCAGATTTGACAGAGAAATCAAAAGCTTTACAGACAAGCAAAAGTTAAGAGAATTCAGCACCACTAAACCAGCTTTACAACAAATTCTAAAGCAACTTCTCTAGGCAGGAAACACAGGAGAAGGAAAAGACCTACAAAAACAAATGCAGAGAAGTTAAGAAAATGGTAATAGGAACATACATATCGATAACTACCTTAAATGTAAATGGATTAAATGCTCCAACCGAAAGACACAGACTGGCTGAATGGGTATAAAAACAAGACATGTATATATGCTGTCTACAAGAGACCCACTTCATATCTAGGGCCATATACAGACTGAAAGTGAGGGGATGGAAAAAGGTACTCCATGCAAGTGGAAATCAAAAGAAAGCTGGAGGAGCAATTCTCATATCAGACAAAATAGACTTTAAAATAAAGACTATTAGAAGAGACAAAGAAGGACACTACATAATGTTCAAAGGATCAATCCAAGAAAATATAACAGTTGTAAATATTTATGCACCCAATATAGGAGCACCTCAATACATAAGGCAAATGCTAACAGCCATAAGAGGGGAAAACAACAGTAACACAATCATAGTAGGGGACTTTAACACCCCACTTTCACCAATGGACAGATCATGCAGAATGAAAATAAATAAGGAAACATGAGCTTTAAATGACACTTTAGACAAGATAGACTTAATTGATATTTATAGGACATTACCCCCCAAAACAACAGAATACAGTTTATTCTCAAGTGCTCATGGAGCGTTCTCCAGGATAGATCATATCTTGGCTCACAAATCAAGCCTTAGTAAATTTAAGAAAAGTGAAATCATATCAAGTATCTTTTCTGACCAGAATGCTATGAGAGTAGATATCGATTACAGGGAAGAAACTGTAAGAAATACAAACACATGGAGGATAAACAATATGCTACTAAATAACCAAGAGATCACTGAAGGAATCGCAGAGGAAATCATAAAATACCTAGAAACAAATGACAATGAAATCACAACAACCCAAAACCTATGGGACTCAGCAAAAGCAGTTCTAAGAGGGAAGTATATAGCAATACAATCCTACCACAAGAAACAAGAAAAATCTCAAATAAACAACCTAACCTTACACCCAAAGCAATTACAGAAAGAAGAAAAAAAGACCCAAAGATAGCAGAAGGAAAGAAAATCATAAAGATTAGGTCAGAAATAAAAAGAAATGAAGGAAATTATAGCAAAGATCAAGAAAACTAAAAGCTCTTTCTTTGAGAAGATAAACAAAATTGATAAACCATTAGCCAGACTCATCAAGAAAAAAAGGGAGAAGACTCAAATCAACAGAATTAGAGATGAAAAAGGAGAAGTAACAACTGACACTGCAGAAATACAGAGGATCATGAGGGATTACTACAAGCAACTCTACGCCAATAAAATGGACAACCTGGAAGAAATGGACAAATTCTTAGAAAAGTACCACCTTCCAAGACTGAACCAGGAACAAACAGAAAATATAAACAGACAAATCACAAGTAATGAAATTGAAACTGTGATCAGAAATCTTTGAACAAACAAAATCCCAGGACCAGATGGCTTCACAGGCGAATTCTGTCAAACATTTAGAGAAGAGCTAACACCTATCCTGCTCAAACTCTTGCAAAATATAGCAGAGGGAGGAACATGCCCAAACTCATTGTACGAGGCCACCATCACCCTGATAGCAAAACCAGACAAAGATGTCACAAAGAAAGAAAACTATGGCCAATATCACTGATGAACATAGATGCAAAAATCCTCAACAAAATACTAGCAAAGAGAATCCAACAGCACAGTAAAAGGATCATACACCATGATCAAGTGGGGTTTATCCCAGGAATGCAAGGATTCTTCAACATACGCAAATCAATCAGTGTGATACACCATATTAACAAATTGAAGAATAAAAACCACATGATAATCTCAATAGATGCAGAAAAAATTTTCGGCAGAATTCAACACCCATTTATGATAAAAACTCTCCAGAAAGTAGGCATAGAGGGAACCTACCTCAACATAATAAAGGCCATATATGACAAACCCACAGCCAACATTGTTCTCAATGCTGAAAAACTGAAACCATTTCCCTTAAGATCAGGAATAACACAAGTTTGCCCACTGTCACCACTATTTTTCAATGTAGTTTTGGAAGTTTTAGCCGCAGCAATCAGAGAAGAAAAAGAAAAAGAATTGAAATCGGAAAAGAAATAAAACTGTCACTGTTTGCAGATGATGTGATAGTATATATAGAAAATCCTAAAGATGCTACCAGAAAACTGCTAGAGCTAATCAATGAATTTGGGAAAATAGTAGGATACAAAATTAATGCACAGAAATGTCTTGCATTCCTATACACTAACGATGAAAAATCTGAAAGAGAAATTAAAGAAACACACCCCTTTACCA